ATGTATTTATTTGATAGATATTGAATGTTTCATTCAGAAACTCAACAATTAATTTTAATCATGTTAATAATAAAAACAAGAACATGGAATCCTGTTCCCTCACTCTGTACTTTATAACTGCAAGATAAATGATATCATTGAACAGTTTTGCCTTTCAGAGTTATCTTTTGCATTTTCACTGAGCACCTGTAGTTGTCTAATAAAGTTGTCTAAGAAAAATGTGTGCATGAAATTGTCTTAAGTGAGATTGCCTGCAGTAAATAAACCATTTTACACCTATCTATTAGCATCAGAAGTATCTTTATTTTCTCCCAAATATGTGAAAGGATTACATCTTTTCTTTTTTTTTGGTGGAAAATAATATTAAACCAACAGTATGTAGTTTGTCTTACCCTTATGGTAAAAGCCACCAAGCACTGTTTAACCAGGTGGGAGAAAGGATCAAGCTAGTCTTGCAGGACCCTGGATAGCTCCAAGCTTCAAGGACATCCAAAGATGAACTTGCATAATTCTGGGATAGAACTGTTCTGATTCAGGATCAATTTTTTCCTGATTGAATTTTAGACAATTGGAGACACTTTTTACTCATCTATGGCAGCGTGGACATCAACGACCCACTTTGTGTTCATAAATGCTTCCAAATTTGTTTCCTCTTTTATTTAGAATATCCCTCTTTCTGGTTTTTTTTCTTACCAACTAATAATAAAACTAAAGAAATAAACCAAGAAAACATTGTTTTCCTAAAAACCAAAACACCCCCAACTCAGAGCCTACAATAATTCAGTTTTAAGTTTTCATGTCCTATTAGCTATGTAGCTAAAATCCCAACACCATGCACAAAAATGTCATTTATACCCCTAACCTAAGTTTACCAGGACCAATAACCAACAGTAGTTTTGTTCTCTATCCCTTCCCTTTCTCTAGCCAATCCCTTTATCAAGTGACAAAAATTGGTGGCCAGCAGCAATATAGTTCAACTGTGTAGAAATTGTTACTTGATTTGGCCTGAATCTCTTATTGTTCAGCTGCATTGGATGGCCAGCAGTTTTAGTCCTATAAATGGAAGAAAATATCTCTCTCTCCCTATTCCATTTACACCATATATAATTTTCCTGAACTCCATCAATTCTGGGTCCCCTACCACCTTTTAAAAGGTATAAAAAAGACATTTCAAAGCTGCTGTTAGGTCATATTAAAAGCTGTATTATAAATTGAAAGTCTAAAGCATTCTTCGTTAGAAGTTAGAATTGTTATGAATATGGGCCAGTTCTAAACTGAAGGGATGAACTGATACATGACTAAAGGGATGGACATAAATAGCTAAATAATGAACATTCAGAATATATCTAAATATAGTAATTGTTTGACTAATTGAATTCTAGTTGTTATATTTTGCTTAAATAAAAAGGCTTGCATTCCTTATGTAAAAATTATTAGTCAAGCAGGATTGTTAATGTTTTATTTTATTTATTTATTTGTTGAGTACGTATTAGATAATATATATAAGTATAAGCATGAATTGAATACATAAAATGAATACAATTAAAGGGAACATTAGGACAGTAGGCATGCTGGTGCTCTTACAGACCTCTTAGGAATGGGGTGAGGTCAACAGTAAACAGTCTTAGGTTAAAATTTTGGGGGTTTTGGAATGAAACCACAGAGTCAGGTAGTGCATTCCAGGCATTGACCACTCTGTTGCTGAAGTCACACTTTCTGCAATCGAGTTTGGAGCGGTTCACTTTAAGTTTGTATCTATTGTGTGCGTGTGTATTGTTGTAGTTGAAGCTGAAGTAGTCATTGACAGGTAGGACATTGTTGTTGAACTACAACTAGTAATTCTCATGATTGTCCATGCTGTCTTGGGCTACTGAGATTTGTAGTTCGGCAACATCTGGAACAATGCGTTTCTCATCCCTGCTGTAACAAGTGTCAGACGGTTTGTTAATTTTTAGCCTTCAAAGCCAAGCAAGATGCAGTAAGGGTTGCATTGATCTCTTTCTGTGTTTAATAGAATAAGACAGGGTGTGCAATGCCATCCTACTCACATTTAACCCCCCCCTTAAGAAATATTGATACTTTAGATCAATATTTATTTATCTAAAGTAGATCAATAAATCTACTTTATTGATTGATATTTCTAGAAGCAAGTGAAATTAAATGTAAAGGTTTAATATATAGTCTTGTTCCAACAATGACAGGAAGAATTTCAGTACCAATTGTAAAGTTCAGTGAAATTGTTGAGTAGCTATATACTATAACTTGGTTTTCCTCCATTATATCTCCCTCTGTAGATCCATGTCAGTGTGTGGGTTTATTTGTCTATCAACATCCTAGGCTGATTCTACAATGAGGTGGCTAATTTGTAAAGAGGCTCAGTACTCTTGATCTGTCAGCTTTCCTCTCACTATGAAATTAGTAGTAAAATAAGAAGAATGGATCCTACAGTGACATCATGACACATTTCTGGCTCTGAGACTATTTGCTCTGGCATATATCTCTTAACCGCCTTCTGGGGTGTAGGCCATTGAAATGAGGTCTAGCAGTTCTAGCTACATTGCAAACAATTTTGCTTGGTAAAGCTGAATCTACATTATAAAAGAAGTAAGCATTTTCAAATTGTTTAGGATCAAAAAAGAGGGGGTAATTTGGCAAGAGCGATAGAAAATCTACTGTGTATTTGCAGGAGAACAATGAACATAATGCAGGTTGCTCTGTCCGTCTTCAGAATACTAGGATAGCAATAGCAATAGCACTTAGATTTATATACCGCTTCAAAGTGCTTTTACAGCCCTCTCTAAGCGGTTTACAATGTCAACATATTGCCCCCAACAATCTGGGTCCTCATTTTACCAACCTTGGAAGGATGGAAGGCTGAGTCAACCTTGAGCATGGTGAGACCCGAACTGCCAAACTGCTGGCAGCCTGTGATCAGCAGAAGTAGCCTGCAGTACTGCACTCTAACCACTGCGCCACCGCGGGTCATACAGTGATTATCAGGTTAAACTTTTCCAGAGAATATTGAAAAAAACTGAATCTTCTTGTCTTGACTGGAATTTGCATTAATGCCTTAAGTAGTCACAAAACTTTTCAACTTTGCTTGGAAAGTTTTACAAATATCCAAAGAACACCCCCCCCCAAGTCATTTCCCATCTTCTTGTTTGAGAAAGGATCCTCAGAAAAACAGTGCAATGCCCCACACTCCTGTTTTCTTTCCCCCTTTTGTTGAAGTTTGCTTTTCATGTTAGCTGTTTGCTTGAATAAGCTATTTATTTATGTATTATTGTGCTTGGTAATTATTTTCCTTTTTTTTTTTACCTTTCTGTTATTCATTAAAAAAAGAAATTAAATAATTAATTTAAAGCACTTCTAGACCTCCACATCTTTAGATGGTGCAGATGACAGATGAAGTATGTCTATTTGGCTAACGCTAGAAAGCATGTCTTTGTTAACCATCCCATACCTCCATTGGCATCCCAATTGCCATAGCATAAGCTTTTACTTTTTAATCATGCTTTGATTAGTTTGCTCCATTGTTCATTGTTTGCATGTGCACTGAACACACAGGCTTTTTAATTGGCTATCTGAAATGAATTACTGACGGCGATTTGGCTACATTATATTCAGTTCTGTAATCAAACAAATTCTTCTGTCAAATAAACAAACAAAAAATAAAGGATCAGTGTTATTGTTAATTGTCCTACTTGATGAATTAAACAGAGTATTATTCACCCTTTCTAATTAGGCTATCAAGAATAACATACATAACACTTCAAGAATGGACTATTCTTTTATTCACAGCTGTTAGCAAACACTGTACATCTGATTTGTGATTAAGATACAAAGAAAGAACAATTACAGTCAGATTAATTAAACAAACAAAAAGGATCTAGGGACCAAGGGCAAGAAATAAGATGGGTGTTGTATTAAGCTTCAGGAAGGGAAGACTGATCTGGTGCACCGGCTGACACCAAGCAGAATGCAAATGCTACTTAAGCTGAAATGTGCAGTTTTAAGATGCTTCTTAAGTATCATTTACACGTTCTGTCCAGAGTGTAATTCTGATCCCTTGAATGATCAACTTTGGTTTCCTTTTTTTTTCCAGGTAAATTTCTAGCCAAATACGAAATTACCATATTTAGCATTCATTTTATTTTATTTTAATTATATTTTGTTTTAATTATATTTAACAAACTATATTTATTTGCTGTTTAAATCATGAGCTCTCTGGTTGTGTGTGAATACATATATTCACAGAGTTGCAGGTCAGGGGAATGGGTGGTGAATATATGCAATCAATTTTAAAAAAATATTTTTATTATAATAATATTATTAAGTGTGGAATAAGATAGCAACATTACAACCTCAACTTTTTACTTTTGCATACTATTTACATACATATACTATTCTTAATATATATTAATATGTAAAAAGTAGGGAACTGTTTTAGGAATGGTGAAGAAATAACAATGTTGCATACTTGCTTGGAACAGTTTCTTTGAACAAGTTTTTGTTTGAAGCAAAGTGGATTTGATACAGCATAAATGTCAAGGGTAGAGATTGTCTGGAATTGTTGAGTAATAACCCCTTCTCACAAGAGAGAGAGAGGGAGGGAGGGAGGGAGCGGGAGAGAGAGTGGGGAGAGAGGGAGGGGGAGAGAGAGAGGAAGGGAGGGAGAGAGAGAGGGAGGGAGGGAGGGGAAGAGATAGAGAGAGAGAGAGAGATGGAAATCTATTCACACCAAAATTGAAGATATTTATTCAAAATGGACAGTATATTAATTGGTGTAGAAATCCAAATGGCCTCTACATGACCAGATCTAATAGAAGAAAATTCATCACCTTTCCAGGGACAGCCATCTGCAGGACTTGCTGCTTTAGTCCAAATGAAACAAACATCATTGTATCATCACAATGCTCCTTTCATACATGCAGACAAGGCCATCACAATGCACATACAAAAAAGACAGAGCTTACGGCACAGCAATACAATGCTGTTGCCATTGTTTACTCTTCTCCAGTCTCTGGGCAAGTGAGTCAACCGTTTAATTGTTCTTACTGTTAGAATTGAGAACACAATTCTTTTTTCTCCAACTCAACTTTTATTTTAACTTAAACCCATCATTTTGCATGCTGCACCCTGGGATGATATAGAACAACGTGTTTTTTTTTTTTTGTATGTTATCTTTTTGTGTAATTGCATACTATCATATCTTTTTAAAAATAATTTTTAAAAATAATTTGTATATTTTTAGGCACTTGGTATGTACTGTCATAACCTCTCTCAATCTTTTCTTAAACTAAACCTTCCTTTTTTCAGAGTTTTTACCCCCATAATAAGTTTGTTACAGTTGCAGATTTTCTGAATACCTTTTAAAAGTGGTGCCCCAACTGGACATGATAGCCAACATTGCATAAATTTGAATTATTGCTGACTCATTTCCAGTATACAAATCACTGAATCAACTGTGATGATGAATTTTTCACAAATATTACTACCAAACTAGGTGTAACCTGTTCCTATAATTGGATTGTTGCTTCCCAAGAGAAGAACTTTGCATTTGTCTCTCTTAAATTTCATTCTGTTACTTTCAGCCCCTTCTTGTAAGCTATCAAAATTATCTTGAATTTCCTTACAGTATTTTGAAGGTAGGAGCAATCCTATTTAATTGTGTGTCTTGCACACATTTGGGGAAAAAAAATCCCTCTATCTCTTCATCCAGTCTATTAATAAAAACATTTAACACCGTAGATAAATATCCTCATATTTCATTTCAGGTGGGTTCAGAGATTTAAATTCATTCATAACAATGATATTCCCTAAACTTAATTTCATTAGCCTTAAGCTTCCATTCTATCCCTTCATTCTGTTCTTTACAATTACCTGGATGAACTCATACCTTCTTAATATAGAGGACTGAGGGAAAGTAATTATTGAATAGGTCTGTATTTTAATTGTAACCAATTAGCATTTTGCCATCTTTATTGAATAGCTGGTATAATGTTTCAATTCATCTTTTTATTTTGAAGAAAAATATCTGAAGAAGTCCCCTTATTGTTCTTAGCATACTTAATTAACCTCAGCCCATTCTGAGCATTATATTTTTGAACACATACGCTATAATTCTGACCTATCAGTATATTCTTCGTTGCTGATCTGTTCCTCTTGCCAACTCTTATTTGAATTATAGCAATATTTTTGTGCAGCTGCACTGACTTCCTCTGCTGTTTCTCCTTTTTTTAACCTCTTTCTAATTCTTTGTTCCTGTGCTTTTTAAAACTTATTTTTCAGGAATTCCACCCATCTTGAATTTCTTCTTCTATGAACGTTCACCATTGTGAAAACGTATTGATTAAGATATTCAATTTTTCTCAGTGTCTCTTTAAATCAAGAACTCTAGTATTTCATGGTCACCCTCAATGCTTCTGCTACTCCCACTGCATCAATGAAGTTTTTCTTTCTGGTTAATATTAGATCAAGGATGGCTGATTGTCTTCCATTCTCTGAAGAGAAAGTTGTCAGCAAGGCAAGTCAGGGATTTTCTGGAAGGACTAGGCTTGGCGGAATTTGTCTTCCACCATATATAATTAAAATAATCTATCACTACTACTCTGTGTCTATTTGACAGGCCTGCAATTTGCTTGTTCATTTCTCTGTGTTTGGGTGGAAGATAGTTGACACTAATCATATTGCTTTAACTTGCTGTTCCACTTATTTTGACCCAGATGCTCTTTACAATATTGTCAAATCCATTCACTTGGATTTCTGACCAGGTGTGGATACAACTACGACATGTAGTGCAACTGCTTTTGAACACATTATATTTCTTGATTGCTATACTCTAATTATAGGAAAACATCCCACAAGTTTTCAATTATACAGTACATATCAAATGATATTCGCCTTCCTCTGCTAAGAGTTGAGACTTAGCTTGGTTATTTCTCATACTCTGAGCATGAGTGTATAATCTTTCTGATTTCATTGAGTGGTTTAATAGACCTTATAATAGCAATATTGCAATTCCTTATAAAGTGGTAAAGCCTGTATCTGAGGTAACTGTATCAGGGTTTTCATCTCCAACTATAATATGATTCAGTCTACCATTTTTTTCAATGCTTATATTTGTGTGCCAGCAATCCATCATACAAACAGTGGGTCCAGAAATCAAAACCTTGACAGCACTGTTTCTAGAGTAAGGCTTTCATTTGCAAAATTCTTTCCTTTTCTAGTCTTCCTTAATGGGCTCTAGGGATAGATGAAAATAGCAGCTTGGTTTATTAGTTAAGGTAACCAGCTAGAAAAAAAAGGAGACTGCGAATTCTAGTCCTGCCTTAAAATGAAAGCCAGCTGGGTGACTTTGGGCCAGTCCCTGTCTTTCAGTCCAACTGACCTCACAAGGTTATTGTTGTAGAGAAAATAGAAGAAGAAATGAATATTTAGGTATATTTGCCATCTTGAATTATTTATAAAAATAATAAGGGCAGGATATAAAATAAATAACTAAATAAACATGGCATTTGAACCCCCCAGGCTATTGAGCTTTGTGATGTAGATGGTATGCTTCTAACTGCATTTGGCAATATGATTCATCCTACATTAGTCAGTGGGCTTCATAAGTTTTCAAAGTTGTTCCGTCACATTTCTCATCCATCCTTCTCACAGAAAGCATGCTTCAGGAACCAATAGTCCGATCACCATGTGCTTGTTTTAGTTCCTCATACTACTGAACCTTCAAATGTTACACTTCTTCTCTTTGTGTTTTTGCATGGGGTAACTTCAAAAATCTACCATCTGCACCCCAAGTTCTTTAAGGGATCTGCTGTATCTCTTTTTGTTCCTCCTAACTTTCAGTGCTGTGAATGCCACAAATCAGTATCAGATACAGAATATTTCTATATTCTATATTCCTTGTTGTAAGGGCTGCTTTGTTAGGCCAATAGATAAGGATCTTTTTAAAAAACAAAACAAAACTGAAGTGCTATCACTTGTTGCTCCCGTTCTCTTACCTTCTCTTTAAGCATTACTACAAATTTACACTTGTCATAAATGCAAACAGACAAACATGCCACAAGTATTGCAAGTCATAGCATGCTAACTCATCTTCACTTATGTTCCCAAGGCACCACCAATAGAAAGAATTTTATTTCTTCCTGTTCCCTTCTCATATTTTCAAGGTTAGTGAATTTTCACCACAGTAAAAGAGAATGTTTAAACTCCTATCAAATTCTGCTGCCAAATTTTTCTTGGTTTTCCTCTATTCACTTACTCACTGAACCTCAGTCAATTAAAAGTGCAATCAGTTGATGTGTCTTGGCCAGGTAGTGTCCTGGTATAGCTCAGTGGTGGGATGCTTCCGATTCGGTCCGGTTCTTGCGAACCGGTAGTAATGGTGGTGGGAGGCTCTGCCCACCCAGCCCAATGTCATCACTGATGATCTGTGCATGCGCAGAAGTGCGCAAACATGCTCCTGTTGTGAACTGGTAGTAAAGGTAAGTGGAACCAACCCCTGGTATAACTAGGCAATGGCAAAAGCTAACTTTATTTTTGCTAAAATCTCAGTATCCAGTGGAAAAATGGATCTTTTGAATAGTTTTGTAGTTTTGCACAAATTCTTTTACCACTTTTGTATTTAACAGCAATATGTTTATATTACTTCCAAAAACCATAAATCTGGCACATATAATACCCCCAGTGTTCTGTAATTTTGATCTGGGAGATCTGGGTTCAATTTCCCATTCAGCCACAAAATTTACAGACTTTTGATCTGTCATTCTCTCTTTCAGCCCCATTGATCTCCCAGATTACTGTTGTGGCATACAGCTGAAGAAACCCCCATAAAATGCTTTGAGCTCCTCAAGTAAAGGCAGGATATTTCAATCAATCAATCAATCAATCAATCAATCAATCAATTGATCACTTAATCAATCAACTAACCAGTGAGGTCACCCAAAATTATAAACAATAACTTCATCAATGGAGTATCAATGGAAAGTGACTAAATTCACTTTTCAAAAGCTAAATTAAAAATGTGTGTCTTGAAAGTTTTTCCGGCAGCAGAAAGAAAAAGAGAAGAAAAAAATTGCTTTCAGCAGAAACTCCATTAAATTTTATGCTGGATATCTATCTATCTATCTATCTATCTATCTATCTATCTATCTATCATCTATCTATCTATCTATCTATCTATCTATCTATCTATCTATCTATCTATCTATCTATCTATCTATCTATCTATAGTATGCCCCTTATTTAGCATATGCAAGTTGACTCAGATGTTCTGTTATGTAAACTGTGGTATTAGGTGCAGTTAAAATTATTCCTATGCATCAACTCTTTCATTAATTGTTGGTTGCTATTAATTAGATAGTATAGGGACACAGTGGCTCAGTGGCTAAGACATTGAGCTTGTCGATCGAAAGGTCAGCAGTTCAGCAGTTCGAATCCCTAGTGCCACATAATGGGGTGAGCTCCCGTTACTTGTCCCAGCTTCTGCCAGCCTAGCAGTTCGAAAGCACGTAAAAAATGCAAGTAGAAAAATAGGGACCACCTTTGGTGGGAAGGTAACAGCGTTCCGTGCGTCTTTGGCATTTAGTCATGCCGGCCACATGGACACAGAGATGTCTTTGGACAGCGCTGGCTCTTTGGCTTTGAAATGGAGATGAGCACTGCCCCCTAGAGTCGGGAATGACTAGCACAGATATGTGAGGGGAACCTTTACCTTTATATATGAGCTTCACAGAGAAGTTGACTTTCATTTAAAAAAAATAGGGGACCTAAAGCTTCCTTTCTGAACATAATGCCCTCTGAATATATTGGATTGGCTGTGAATTTTGGGAGTGGATATTCAATTTTTTTGTAGTGTGCCAGACCATGGAGAGCTGGCCTTGGGAGAAGTTAGGTGAGTTTGTGGTAAAAGTTGTCTCCTGGTACCTGTCTAATATATGCACTCATGGAAAAACTTAACATTCAGTTAAGTTATAAGTAATTCAGACAGCATAGTGATACATTATATCTCCAGTTTTTGATCCTGT